CGTGGGGGATGCATATTGTTGAGTCCTTTGAGAAACTTTTTTACAGTTGGATGAAAAAAAAAGTCTACCCAATTCAGAATTGAGAGGTTAATGAACTAGACTAGCAGAGATACAGACTTTCAAGATGGACTAGGACAATCCAAAATTGAATAGATGAAGGACAAAGGTAAGTAAAGTATTCAAAGAGACTGGTGTTGCAGGTAAGTTATGAGAATCGGTGAAGGAAAGGAATGCCTTCCACTTATTTTGGTATAGAAGCTGGGTCGAGGGCTTCCGAGCTCAATCAAGTATATCCTTTATGGCGGGAGTATCCTCCAGGCTGTCAGATTCAGAGATGGTAAAAAGGGTTTCCCGACGAACAAATTCGGGAGAAACATCCTCCAAGTGAGTTGACATGCGAGTTCGGGTGTTACTGTAAGACACATAGATGGATGATCCGTCACGGGGTCGAACAGTGACAGGTACCATGATTGAAGTGACCTCATTTTGAGTTGTGCGTGTTGTATAACTGCAGTTGTCGAGGCCATGAGTCAGTGGAGGTGTTGGGCATGATGGACTGATACTGAGGCTAGAGGTCAGAAAGGTTGAATAGCCATTTTTAGTTTGAGGATTCTCTCATGTGGGAGGAAGGCTCTGGCCTGCAGTGAATCAAAGTGGGCTCCAATGTAGGTGGCGTTTTGAGATGGCTCAACATGTGACTTGGCGAGATTGAAGTTGAGGCCGAGGTCTCGAAGTGTATCAAGAGTGAGTTGGGTCGCTCTGACGGCATCATGATATGAGGCTGAGACTATCAACCAGTCGTCTATGTAACGGAATATATTGATACCTCGAAGTCGAAGGTAGGCAGCGACTGTTGGCATGCATTTGGTAAAAGTCCTTGGTGCTGTGGAAAATCCAAATGGGAGAGAGCAAAACTGGTATGTGGTGTTGTTGAACCAGAATCAAAGGAATTTGGGATGATTTAGTATAAAGATGTGAAAGTAAGCGTCTTGGCGATCGATGACAACAAACCAGTCTCCCTGTGAAAGGACAGGAATGATAGTGTCTAGTGTCAACATTCTGAAGTTTCTAGGTCAAATGAATTTATTGAGATTTCTGAGGTCGAGGATGGGACGGAGTCCTCCGTCCTTTTTCAGTACTGCAAAATATGTGGAGTAGAAACCATGATGCAGGTCACATGGAAAGACTGTAGTTATGGCTTGTTTTTGGAGAAGAAGGGAAACTTCTTCTTGAAGGACTATTGAATAGGGGTATTTTTAATTTTTCCGATCAGTGGAATAGTTTTAAATTGAATGAAGTAGCCGTTTTTAATGGTAGAAAGGACCCATCAGTCATTAGTCTTTTTTCTTCTTTGAAGAATCTAGATACTAAGTCGAGGTCTGGAATGTTGACACCGATTTTGATTTCAAAGTGGACTTCAACCTCTCCTTATGATGGGTAGAAGGAGTCACAGTGCTGGAAGCAGGCATAGGTGGATTTTGCCAATCTAGTTGAGGGTCTGGAGATTGTGCAGACACCATGGAGGCTGGAGGTGGATTGAGAAATTTCTCCAGAGGTAAGACCTCAATCTTTGTAGATGCAGTTTAAGGGCTGGTTTAGTTAGCCTTTTGCACACGGAACAGGATTGGATAGGATGTTGTTCCCCAAGACAGAAAAGGCAACGGTCATGACCATCAGTTAATGGGATCTTGTTTGCGCAGAGAACGCACTGCTTGAAGAGCTCAGGGGCCCCCATAAAGAGCGGGGGAGACAGGTGGGCAAAATGGTTATGGGGGGAAGGAGGGGATCAGTAAAACGCGGGTAGAGAAAAACTGGAATAAACTCACAGGGGAAACGTTGAATTAAAGAAAGATGATTGAGTAAATTAATGATGATTCAAAGGAAAGTACAGTATAATTCAATGTATTGCTCTATTGGTCTATTCAACGTGGCGAAAAAAGGAACTGAGGGGATCAAGGATGGGTGGAACATGCGCTCCACGGGGGAACGAACGTCCCACTAATCATGTGTCTTTAAGCTCTAGAAACTTCTAAGAGGTTCAGCGCAGGCACAGAACCCAATCGTGTGCATTCACAGAGGCCACAAAGAAGAACAGCTCCTCTGTTACCTAAAAAGTCAAACAGGGCCAGGGAACACTGTTACATAGCTTGAAGTATGTGCAGAGTGGAAAAGGTATCCCCATAAAGTTGGAAACACCTTCAGTGAGCAGAGTCTATCTGCTGAAGTAAGGCAGATCCTCAGTTCAACCCCAGCATTGCGATTCTTTAAAATATGAATTAAGCAACAACAAAATGAATAACAAGTAGTCCCAAACTTGGAATAACATTTGAAGAAACAAATGTTTAACGGGGAAAAAAACCTCCCAGGCATTACGATTTGTATTGATATAAGTGAAAACAGCCCTGCGATAATAACCAAGCACGTTTCATAGAGAATATCTGAGCACTCACATCATGCAAGAAAAAAACAAGTAACAGCTTGCTTCAACTTTACAAGTTGCCCTCCCAGATCGCGCAGAGATAGTCCTACCTCTTCACAGCCAGCCAGTCAAGTGGGCATTTGCAAACTGTATGTAGATAAGCCAACACCACACTTTGCCTCTTTCTCAACTGAATCCAAACAAGAATCTCTATGTAGTATCATTTTCTGAAATTTATCAATCAACCAACCAAAAATGTTACCCCTACTAGTTTGCTTCCTGTGGTGAAAACAAATAGTCAGCAAGTCATATTTCATAATTTAACAGAAACCTTCCCTGACAGTGAGTGAAATTTTCTGCACAATCCTATGCAGGTTTACTCAGAAATAAACAGTATTTTTACAGTTTTTAATGGGACTTGTAAAGGACGACATTCAAAGGACTGCATTCTTGATCTCCTTTCGTATGTTTTACAGAAACAATCTCCTAGCAGTTTTCATAGCTCTCCAAAATATTCTTTATTAGCATACAAATTTGAAAACTAACACACCTGAAAAATGCATCATCCTATCAATCTTGAGACAGCAAATGAGAAAGGCACCTGTGGATTTTTTGAGAAATGAAATTTGTGGCCAGTTTCCTGAAACTGTTTGCCCAAGAACAAATCCAAATAAATTAACAATGGAAATAAACTTAAGTAGCGTTCACTCTGCAGTCTGAGTTGCTCTCCTTAAAAAATAGCAAGCAGCAAGAAAAAAGTTTTCTATTCTACCCAAATCCAACAAATATTCTACATTTTTATCACATCTCTAATTTTAAGATTGCATCAACATTGGTCATTTTCTGAAAACCTGTCCTGGTTAGCAAGGAGAAACTCGTGTTAGCATCTCAGAGCAACTGACAGCATCTATTTTGCTGTTCCACATTAGTTGTTACATGTAGGCTGGTTTCTCCACCTGTAAAACCATCAACCCTGAGAGAAGGCTTAACTGCATATCTTTTCCTGTACAGTGGACCCTTGATTTACAGACGGCTTGACTTACAGACTTTTTGAGTTACAGACTTCTCTGGCTGCAAAATTTAGGTTTGACTTGCAGCCTGAGAATTAACTTACAGACCAGAAAAAAACCAAAATGGAACAAAAACGGCCTGTTACGGGATTAATTGGTTTTCAATGCACTGTAGGTCAGTGGAGACTTGACCTACAGACTTTTTAACTTGAGAACCGCATTCCAATACGGATTAAGTTCTCAAGTCAAGACCCCACTGTATGGGCATTACAGGACAACTTTCTCTGCAATGTTTCAGATCTTTTATATTATTTTATTTTTATTTTATTTGGCTCTGAGCATAAAAGTACCAGCTGAGACACATCTTTCAATTCATCAACAGAGTCCCTTGCAGTCATATAAGCTACTAAAGTTGCATAGGCCACTCTACAGTTGCTGTCACTATTTATTCCTCCATTTCCAAATCCTTCCTGTACAGAGTTTGTGCTTAAAGGAATATTCTTGCAATGAGCACTGAACAGAAGTTTCACAAACCATTCCATCATCTGCCAGTGTCCCCTCCTTCCTCAATAAACAATATTTTATTTTACTTCACCTCACCTTTCTGCCAAACAGGGCCCCATGCAGATAACCAATTCTATTAATTTCCCTGAAATCATTTACATCAGGCTTGTCCAACCCGTGGCCTGAGGGCCGCATGCGGCCCCGGTCAGCTTGTCATGCGGCCTAGTGCAATTTTTTTATTTTTAAAGAAATTCCAAAGTTTCAAGTTACACTGCCGGCGCTTGTGGCCGGAATGTGGCCGGGGCATGTCACAACAGTAGAGGGGGAGAGAGGGAAGGAAGGAGTGGGAAGGGAGGGGACAGGGGGGTTGCGTGACTGCATTGCGCCATCCCCGTCAATAGGTGGACCCCCTCCCGGGCCCATAAAGCCACCGGAGTCGAAGCTGGCAGCCTCTGCTGTCTGAGATCGCAGCTGCTGGTAAGCACGCTTGGAGCGGGGCTGCGGAGGACAGCTAGGGCTGCCCCCCCATGCGGCCCAAACCAAATGTATGTGCGGCCCAAACCAAATTTTCATCTTCTAATGTGTCCAGGGAAGGTGAAAGGTTGGACACCCCTGATTTACATTTTTCATCTGTGCACCTATTCTCTAAATTTCTTTTGGAAAACCAAAGCCTGCTGACTCCATAATCACACCCCACGTTTCCCTCCTTTTGCAGTACACCACACCCTGGAAGGCTTAGTGGTTTATGTCAGAGGTTGGGAATTTAATTCTCCACTGTGCCTCCTATGAATAGAGCCAGCCTATGTGGCCTTAGGCAAGCTGCACAGTTCCAAAATGCTCCCAGAAGAAGGGAATGGTAAACCACTTCTGAATATTCTCTTCTTAGAAAACCCTGGCAAGGGAAAAAGAATTGACTTGATGTCACATCATTATTTTTAGGGGGAAGGTTTTTATGACATGTCATATTTTTTCTGCAACCTATGTTGGAGTTTATGGGTGGTCCAAACATGTTTATGAATGATCTGGTGAGGAAAGGCCAGATTACTCATAAACATGTTTGAACTTTCTTATGGGTTTAAATGTAGGTTGCAGAGAAAATGTGAATGTCCTAGAAATCCTCCCCCAATTATTATTATTAATTAATGGTGTGCAGTAAATGTACACAACTATGCACATCTGGTGTTGTTTTGGGGCTGGGTTGGTGAGATCACAATTCAGAACTGTACATATACAGGTGCTGTGCAAAGATTAAGCTCTAGGATGGTGAATACGAAACAAGTAAAATGTAACGATCTGGACATTTTAGGAAGGCAGAATCTTTTTGGCTTCACTGAATGTCTGATCAGAAGAAACTGCTGTGCTTCATAGCTTAGGCTTGCTGGTTATTCAGAGGCTGATTCTCTATGGCATTCAGTGCGTTGCCTGTATTTTCTGGTTGCCTCTCTTCTTTGGCTTTACACAGTTTATAAACCAGTAGACCAGCATCCAGAAGAAATGCAAAACTTGCAAAATATCCAAATACCTGTTAAATGAAGGAGAAAAGAAGACTCTACATATAAAATCCCATCAAGATTAAAGAACATACAAGAACAGCCTTACAACCTCTGCATATACATCCCCTTTGGTACATGTGCACACAAGCGTGAGAAACATTTGGCAATGGCCCACGCAAGGACGCTTCATGGCTTGTGAGTAACGAAAACATTTGGGGCTGCAGCGTTAGCGTTACAGAAGCAGACAAATTAAGAGAGAGAATAAGTGGTCCAGTAAGATATACAGATATGAGAAGGAGGAAGTCTCTCACGGAATAAAACTGCAATTTAAGCATGACCGTTTTGTGCAACTGGAAGCTTCTGCTTTTGATTCTATAATGATGCCATCCTGCTTTCTTTCCCAGTTAAGAGCTAGAATGAGAGCCATCCCATGGCAGCCTCATATGGGCCAGTGTCTCCACTACATGGTGCCCTCCAGGTCCTTAATATTCCTCTCTATAAAATAGCCAATTTGACAGGCTTCCTGGTGTACACCATTCTTTAATGTTCACTAAGTTGCCCGTTTCATTTCCTGCTGTTAATCACTAGGACACTAAATATCTTGACTCAAGCTAATCTGGAAGTCCTTCTTTTGCTACTGCAGAGCCTTTGTTCTTTCTTTCCTTACACATATTTCTCACACCAGCTCATCTGTCTCTATAATTTTATTTCCTTGAATATCTTTCTTGGCTAATCACCACAAAGCAGCCATCAAAAGCTTTGCACATTGCAAGTTTACATCCTCATTTGACAACTACTCTTAAATATTTATGGGTCAAGATTAGATTTTAAGATAGGACAGTGTTAAATAGTTTCAACTTTGAACACAGCCATATGGCTGTGCACCATCTCAAATACCACTAAATCCATTAGTTAAAAGGGAAAGGGAAAGGGAAAGGGAAGGAGAAAAGAAAAAGGAGTGGACATCTGAAAGACAAATGTGTATGACAGTTTGAACCCTTTTTAAAAAGTTGCTAAAAGTTGATCAAAAGGGAATAGGAAGGATTTATAATGACCAAAATGAAAAGAGAAACACAGTCTTTGCCCAGATTAGAACTAGTAGCCCCAAGGAGCACCATTGTAAAGTCAGTACATATCCTCTGGGATCTCCATGCTGGCAGCATGCATAAATAAATAAATAAATTCAGAAAGGGACACTGAGTTTTGTGAAGAACGTTTTTTTAAAAATAGAGTAAAATCATGGTATTTATCACACAATGATCAGTTGCCAAAAAAAAAGTTCATACTGATTGCCATGTGCCACTGAGTTGAGGTGAACATCTAGGCAAGCTTTTTGCCCTAGTGCTGCACTTGTGTATACTCACCCTTCAGGTAAAAGCCCATACACCTGTGCACATATACAAGTCTCCCCCCTCACCTCTCCACATATATTCCAAAAAAAGGAATTTTCCAGAGTCTCCCCATGCACTTTCTTTCCCAATTCCATTGTGCTTCCAACAGTTCACAAAACAGCTGTTTTCATGCTGTCAGAAGCACCCTAGCTTTGCTGGGGAAGATGATGTTCAAAAAGACTCATCTGCCTACCATTTTCTCCAAAAAACCTATGCTCCTGATAGTTTAAAGCAAAAGTTTGTGAGTAGGTGGAAGCATTTTATTTATTATTTATTTGGTTTTGTTTACCCATTAGTAGGCAATTTACAGAATAAGATATAAAAAACATCAACCTGAATGTAAAAATTAATATTAACAATATCAGAGAATATATTCTTAAAGGTTGTTTTACAGAGATCTATCTTTACTATTTTCTAAGTAGCAGAAGCGGTGCAGTTTGGCACACCACAAATGGAAGCTTCTTCCAATAGATGCCACCACCAAGAAGGCCCGGTTCCTCACTGATACCATTTTAGCTTCCCTCGATGTGGGAACTTTTAACAATGTGGATTAGGAAGAGTGTGTGGAACAGGTAGCTGTTTTCTGGGAGAGATGTTTTGACACATATCAAGGTCCTAAACCAGTAAGCATCACTGCACCACTCTGAGAATGGCTCTGACAGTGCACCATTTCCCCAGTACAAGCACGGCAGCAGCATGGGGGAGGAGGCTATTAAGAAACTGTAGTCCTAACCCTAAGATGTCAGTCCAGGGTAAACACAGTGATAAAATTATCTGATGAAACATTTATGTTGTTACAATACAACCTTGGGGGGGCGGGAGGCACAGAGAGGTTATACTCTCAGCAGTCCTGAGCCAGCATAGTTAGCTTATGACTATAACTCTCCGAAACTCTCTGTTTGCACCATTACTCCCTATGCTGGCCAGGACAGTCTGTAAATTGCAAGAAAGTAATTTTGCTAAGCTCTGAAAGAAAGCAAAAATCATGTACGTCATCAGAACACAGGTATGTGATGAACATGAAAGGAAACTAAGATCAAGAATGTTTTGTTCAGTCACAAAACACGAAGATTCATCTTTCGAGATGGACCAGCATTAGGAAGCTTTCCTTGGGGTGAGAGAAATACATGGCAAAAGCTGCTCTTTTCAGTGGGTTCTTGGGTTGCATCGTTTCAGAGATTTTTCATTAGATCCCCCAGCCCTAGTAGCAACAATTTCCTACAATATTCTTATTACATTATCTTTCTTGCTACTTTATGGTAGGTACCGAAAACAGGGAACACAGCCAAATTCAGCTGCTAGTCCTGACTAGAGTAGATCTGTTGAATTAATAGGATTCACATATGTATCTAGCAGTGGATTCACTGTGTTATTCTAACTATTCTAACAACAATCAAACCAGCATTTGAACACGTTCTACACACAGAACACATTACAAGAGAAACAGAACATGGTCATGTGCTTACAAAAGCAGCAGTTTCAACTGATGTCTTGTCACTGGTTGCAGAAAACACAATTGAAGCTAGGAGGAAAAAGGCTCCCACTGATATTAAGATCCACGTATCCTACAAATAAAGAAAAATAAAATAAACTTAGCACCCGAATTGTCGCTTATTTTTATTCTTCAATCCTAGTATTGAATAAAAACAGTAATGCAAATATGAGATTTTCAACATCTAAAATGGGGTTGCAAAATGCAACATCCTCCAAACGCTGGACTGCAACTCACAGTAATTTTTTACTAACCGCTGTGCTGGCCTAGGATAGTGGGATATTCTGCCTACACATAGTCTAGAATTACATCCATTGTGCTGTACAAAACATTTCAGTAGTATCTTGCTTACCTTTGCAGAACAAGGTGGACTATCAATACTACCATTTTACAGATGAAGAAATGAAACTGAAAAGTAACCATTTCTCTCAGACAACCTGGCAAGACTGTGACTGAGCTCAACTTGAAGAGCACTTCCTGCTCTCAGTCTATCAATATAACTGCTTCATCGTGCCAGCTTTAAATTAAAATCCTTCTTCCATTTAGAACTACTTTTATGGTACATAAATTGATTATCCCTTTTTTTGCCCCCAAGTCGACTCTGAGTCGTGGTGAGCTCGCTAGAGTTCCCAAAGTCAATGAGATATTTAAGAAGTGGCCACATCCCCACTAACCTAGGGTGTTTCCAGTGAGCAGGAGTTTGAACAGAACACTTAGGTCCTAGTCCAACACTTTTTTCACTTCACAACACTTGCTCCAGGATTATCCCTGTGATTTCTTATTCTCCTGGGAAGGAAATATAGTCTTTATATTGCAGAAACATCCGTTAATTGAATTTTCTTTTAACTTTTTAATATCTTAAGCACTGGAAGACACCTTGAGTCTTTTTATATGCAGAAATACTAGTAGTAATCTTAATAATCACAATAGTTCACCAGAATACTTTTTTCCAATCTAATGGTCTTTGTGACTCCAAAAAACTACAGTAAGTTGATGGTATTAGGATATTAGGAAGAAAAAAAATTAAATGCTACACTGGTATTCATTAGGATAGGAGAGGTTGTGTCTAGAGGTCAATTTCAGCTCTACAGATCCAACCACAGACTACAACAATTCTCCTGGCAGCATATATACATTCAGTGAGAAAAACGACTTTGTTTCTTTCAGAACTTCTTTTAGAGCAGAGACATCACCTCCAGATGCTCTGCAGAGCTAAAACAATACATACAGTGGTGCCCCGCTTGACAACTTTAATCCATTCCGTTAAAATCGCTGTTAAGCGATATCATTGTCAAGTGAAGGAAAAAAAACCCATTGAAATGCATTGAAAACTGGTTCAATGCATTCCAATGGGCAAAACACCTCATCGTCCAGCGAAGATCCTTCATAGGGGAAGCCATTTTCGATCGCTGTCTTCCGGAAATAGTGGGCGGCCATTTTGAAAACCCAATGATCAGCTGTTTTTGATCATCGTGAAGCGAAAAATCGGTTCCCGAAGCAGGGAACCGATCATCGTGAAGCGGATTTTCCTCATTGAAACATTGTTTTGTGATCGCAATAGCGATCGCAAAAACCTCATTGTGAAGCAATTTCGTCATCTACTGGGGTAATCGTCAAGCGGGGCACCACTGTACCTTGTTTTAACAATATCTTATTTGTTTTACTGCCACACCACTGAATTCAGCAGTACAGTGGTGCCTCGCATAACGAGAGCACCGTTTAACGATGAATCCGCATACTGATGTGGATTTTGCGATCACTAATGCGATCGCATACCGATGTTTCTTCGCATTGCGAGGGGGAACAGCTCTTCGGTGTTTTTTTTGATCCATATAGTGATGTTTCCCCATAGCGAAGGTTAATCCGGAACGGATTAACCTCGCTATGCGGGGCACCACTGTAGTGGCTTTATAGGATGCAAAAATTGCCAGGACTGCTACAGCCAGCTGTCAGGCCATGTATTGTTCACCACTGCAACAAAGCAATATAGCTATGAAAGTTATGTACTGGGAACATTTTTAAAATACACTCTTCTTAGATACAGAGATTTTACAGCTATACATGACAGATTACCCTCTCCTGTGTATTTCCCATTCCCAGGTCTTTTGCACAACTCTTAGTCAATTCGTGTTTACTGGCATATGGAAGCTCAGCATTCAAGAGAATTAGAGACAGAACTTTGGTCCTCTCCTTTTCCACCTAGATATACCAGCGAGCTAAGCTGAACAGGCAACCAGACTAACACATCCTCCTTTTTTAAGGGCGCCTGACATGATGTGGTTATGAACTATGAAATTTAGCTATAAATGAGGTGGAACACAGATAATATATACATTCCCACCAGCTAGGGCAAAAATGCTACAACAGTTGTTCTTTATTGGGACAGGTTCTAAGGCTCCCAACTAAACTTCACTCTTAGGCTATTAACCCAAAATGTTTAAATTAACTGCAACTCTTCCTGGATTTTCTAAGGCAAAAACATCAAAAGTTGGCCACACTAAAGTGTGGTCCTAAGCATGCATACAGTCTTTCTTTTAAAATATGGTTATACCAAATGCAAAAAGAGGCTTCTTTTACCAGTTTGTTTACTTTCTCCTTTCCTATCCTTTCATAAAAAGAAGTGCAGCAGATGAAAAGAATCGGGATGCATAAGAGGAAGGCACTGCAGCTGACAAACTCAAAGAAATAAAGCCCACTGCAGCGGGTGCATTGACTCACAACTTCTTCAAGCACAAATGCAAGGAAAGACAGTACCTATATGAAAAGAAGAAAAGATTGTTGTTATATCATCTATTCAACAAAGCAGTTGCCAAATTCCATAATGTCTCCACAACTCAAGTAATGCATCTATGAAAGTATACTATACATGAAAGAATTTTTAGCTTATAGATGGCTTTACAACAGCTGTAAGACAGTCTTTCCCAACCGGTGCTGTGGAAATGCATTGGACTACACCTTCCAACACACCTTCCCCTTAGTGAGGGGACAGAGGACAAATGAATAATGTGATTTCTAGCTAGATATGTCTCCAAGGAAAGGTTCTTGTAACATATGTTCTTTAAACTGTTCCCACTTCTCAGGTGGACTTGTTTCAGTGAGAGTGACAAACCTGTACAACACACAATCAAGAAAGGCTTCCCTGATGCCTATATTTTGGTTTCTTTAGTGGTAGATACCTTTCATTGCTTGGAATTCTGTTCATCAAGACACAACATAATGTTCCACCTGAGTAAATGTACCAGAAGTTTCACCCTGACAAGAACTGCAAAGTTGATTGTACAGTCACATAGTTCCCATTTCAACTGTTTGTGAAAGGTGCCAGTGGAAGTGCTGTGCAAATAGCTCTTCTGTGATGACACAACATCAGCTACTACAGACTTAATGTCAAGTTATGCCCATGTGGCTACTCAACAGGATTTCAGTCAATACATATTTCTACCTCTTCAGACACTTTAGATAAATTCTATACATTTATTTGAAAAAAAAATCCTCTAAGGCTAATAGGATTATTTTAGCCCTACTTTTAAATCAATCAATCATAGCCAAAATCTTATTGTGGAAAACATACAGTGGACCCTCTACTTAAGGAATTAATCTGTATTGGAATGGTGGCTGCAAGTCGAAAAGTCTGTAAGTCAAATCTCCATTGACCTACGATGCACTGAAAACTGATTAATCCCATAACCAGTGGTTTTTATTCTATTTTTATTCCATTTTGGTTTTTTTCTAGTCTGTAAGTTGATTCTCTGGCTGCAAGTCGAATCTAAATTTTGCAGCCAGAGAAGTCTGTAACTCAAAAAGTCTGTAAGTCGAGCCGTCTGTAAGTCGAGGGTTCACTGTATTGAGAAAGGGCAATCACAAAAGTGATTTCCATGGTTGGACAGCTGCTAGTCACATGATCAATTCCACAGCCAAGAAAAGATCAGAAATATGATGGACAGCTGGCAAAAGACTGCCACGTACATATTTCTGCTTACACAGTTGCAATCCTATAAAGCATCTGAATTCTGATACAATATAAATAAAAATTGTTGTTGTTTAGTCGTTAAGTCGTGTCCGACTCTTTGTGACCTCATGGACCAGAGCATGCCAGGCCCTCCTGTCTTCCACTGCCTCTCACAGTTTGGTCAAATTCATGTTGGTAGCTTCGATGACACTGTCCAACCATCTCGTTCTCTGTCATCCCCTTCTCCTCTATCCTTCACACATTCCTAACATCAGGGTCTTTTCCAGAGAGATTTCTCTCCTCATGAGATGGCCAAAGTATTGAAGTCTCAGCTTTAGGATTTGTCCTTCCAGTGAGCACTCAGGGGTGATTTCCTTCAGAATGGATATGTTTGATCTCCTTGCAATCCAGGGGACTCCAAGAGTCTGCTCCTGCACCACAATTCAAAAGCATCAATTCTTTGGTGGTCAGCCTTCTTTATGGTCCAGCTCTCACTTCCATACATGGCTACTGGAAATACCATAGCTTGGACTATGCGGACCTTTGTCGGCAAGATGATATCTCTGCTTTTTAAGATGCTGTCTAGGTTTGTCATTGCTTTCCTCCCAAGAAGCAGGCGTCTTTTAATTTAGTGGCTGCAGTCACCATCTGTAGTGATCATGGAGCACAAGAAAGTAAAATCTGGCATTGCCTTCATATCTTCCCCTTCTATTTGCCAGGAGGTGACAGGACCAGTGGCCATGATCTTAGTTTTTCTGATGTTGAGCTTCAAACCATTTTTGGTGCTCTCCTCTTTCACCCTCATTAAGAGGTTCTTTAATTCCTCCTCACTGTCTGCCATCAAAGTGGTATCATCTGCATCTCTCAGGTGGTTGATATTTCTTCCGACAATCTTAATTCCAGCTTCGGATTTCTCAGATCCTGCCTTTCGCATGATGTATTCTGCATATAAGTTAAATAAGTGGGGAGACAATATACAGCCTTGTCGTACTCCTTTCCCAATTTTTAATCAATCAGTTGTTCCATATCCAGTTCTAATTGTTGCTTCCTGTCCCATATATAGATTTCTCAGGAGACAGATAAGTTGGTCAGGCACTCCCATTTCTTTAACAACTTACCATATTTTGTTGTGGTCCACACAGTCAAAGGCTTTTGCGTAGCGAAAGAAACAGAAGTATATGTTTTTCTGAAACTCTCTGGCTTTCTCCATAATCCAGTGCATGTTAGCAATTTGGTCTCTAGTTCCTCTGCCCCTTTGAAATCCAGCTTGTACATCTGGGAGTTCTTGGTCCACATACTGCTGAAGCCTACCTTGTAGGATTTTGAGCATAGCCTTGCTAGTGTGTGAAATGAGTGCAATTGTATGATAGTTGGGGCAATTTGGCACTGCCCTTCTTTGGGACTGGAATGCAGACTGATCTTTTCCAATCCTCTGGCCATTGCTGAGTTTTCCAAACTCGCTGGCATATTGGGTGTAGCAGCTTAACAGCGTCATCTTTTAAGATTTTAAATAGTTCAACTGGAATGCCATCACCTCCACTGGCCTTGTTGTTAGCCATGCTTTCTAAGGCCCACTTGACTTCACTCTCCAGGATGTCTGGCTCAAGGTCAGCAGCTACACTGTCTGGGTTGTCCGGAACATCCAGATCTTTCTGGTATAATTCCTCTGTGTATTCTTGTCACCTCTTCTTGATGTCTTCTGCTTCTGTTAGGTCCCTACCTTTTTTGTCTTTTATCGTGTCAATCTTTGCACAAAATGTTCCTTTAATATCTCCATTTTTCTTAAACATCTCTGTACTATAAAAATACTGAAGTTATTTTATATGTGCTACATTTTAAATCATCCAATCATCTGCATAACATACTAATGAATTAAAATAATAAGTCAGAATTAAACTTATGGCACATTATCAATAAGCTGGTTGGATAGCTCAGTGGTTTAGGTAACTGGCTGCAAAGCCAGAGGTTGGGAATTTGATTCCTCACTGTGCTTCACAGGAAAAGAGCCAGCCGCTGTAGCCATGGGCAAGCTGCACAGTCCCAGGATGCCCTAAGTAAGTAAATGGTAAACCACTTCTGAGTACTCACTGTTTAAAAAAGCCTTGAAAGAGTTGCCCTAAGCCAGAATTTAGATGATGGCACAGTATGACTGTGAATACAAAGATGATGATGATGATGAAAGAGATAAATTAACAAGAATAGATAAAATAGGAACAAGTAAAACAATAGTCCTAAGAATTTAAAATTCTAAAAAGCCATTTTAAACTTACTATCAATACTATTGCACCATATGAAAATTTCACTAAGCTTATGGAACACTTGTGTATTTTTCATAAAGGCAAAAGAACTTCTATAAAGGTCTAACGACCACTAGAGGAGGGGAAGGAAGTGACAGAGAAATACCCCTAAAGGTACCAGAAGAATCTTCTTTTTTATTAAACAAGATTAGTATCAACCTTATTTGCTACAGACAACTGATGGGGCCGCTGGCACAAACATATTTCTAATAAAGTAATTAGAAAGGTCAAAAGTACCACCCACCATGGAGTGCAGTTTCTCCACCCCTCCTAGAACTGGTTGGGACAGTGCGAACCTTAATTAACATGACCCCCAGGAAGACAATGGGAGGACCATGGTTGTTGCTTTGATTTGCATCTCAACAAGAACTGGTTCTGGCAGTCACAGCAATATTAACTCATATTTACATAGATTCCTCCCTCCTGGACACTCCACACTCTGAGCACCTGGACAGGTAGGAAGGACCAGTTCCTCTGTGCTAATGAGCTTCCAGAATTGTTCATTAACCACAGACCTATTGTGAGCAGAGGTTTTCCCATAATGTCCCCTAACAGCTGTGCCCAAGTAATCCTATTGTCAAGAGATGTTCCCCCATGATATCGCCCAACTTAGAGAACAGTGCCAGACTCCCACATCGCAAATCCTTTGTCTAGAATCCATTCCCACTTCCCCCCCCCATCTTGTATGTACCATACATCCTATAGAATTCTTTGTTAACTATTTCCTGGTCACGTATGCTGTATCTCAACCCTGATTCTGGAAAACAGAAGGTATAAACACCCTTGCCACCATTCTTCAGGGCGGGCAGTTTACCTCTTGCTTGGGAGAGGTTGTCCCATTGGGCTACGTTTTCTTTATCTGATATTTCAAATAATCAAAAGCCTTTTTGAATTCTCTCTCGAGTCAAGACTTATTGGCACATTTGACTTAGAAAGTCTAGGAGCTAGCGAGGACTCAACACAACCACTTCCTAAGTGCCTCCAGCCTTTATCTGTTTACATTTTCTGTAATAGGGAAGTATGACTCACCCTTTGCTTTGTTTTCAGTTTTGCTCTCTGTTGTTGTGCTTCACTGCCACAGCAACAGAAGGAACTATATAGACATTGTAGAGCAGTCTCTCCTTTAAACAGACTTGCCGGGGTCATTAAACTTCTATTAAAGTCCGCCATCCTTCCTGAGAAATACCATAAACTTGATGAAATTCTAGAATGGTACCAATTTTAAATGCCACACATAGGTCTCAAACCCCCAGTAACAAGCATCAGGTTCTAGGGTCAATCAATATCAAAATGAACTAGTCTTGTAAGTGGCTAAACAGGCCTTCCCTTTTTTTTTTTTTTTTTTTGGTCGGGGTATGCAATGTCTGAAGCAACAACAGAAATCTTAGAGCAATCATTCATGGATAATTGCAACCCACTACTCTCTATAGCTTCATACAAGTTTTTTATTATTATTTCTTTTAAAATCAGGAACAGTAAATGTGCAAGAAAGGAAGCTCCTCTCTATAAGG